GAGAGAGAGAGAGAGAGAGAGAGAGAGAAATTACTCTATACTTTTAACGAAGCAATTGTCGAGATTCGTCATTCTTACTTGAATTTCAATTAAAGAAATTTGGGGAAGTAGTGCAAGTACGCCATACGCATGCGTCGCAGCAAATACGTGAGGACAATCCGAATCTCTTTCAGCGAATGTGTTTAGTATAGCCGCTACCAACGATAATCCGCTCATTTCGGACGTTCCTCTGTCCAATTCGTCCGTTATCACGATCGAATCTGAGGTGGACGCGTGTAGAGCCACGTTGATCTGAAATTCGTATCTTCGTTTCGATTCTTTTCTCTTCGTTTCGAAAGAATAGAGATATTTCTCTACCTGTCGAAGATTCTGTAGAAACGAGCTCGCGTTCAACCCGATACTTTCCGTGTTCGACATTTGAGTCAAGATACGAGAAATCGTGCCTATCGTCGCGGATCTTGCAGGAACGTAACAACCTATGTGAGCCATGAACACTATAAGGCCAATCTGCTTTAAATATACACTCTTGCCGCAAGAATTTGGCCCCGTTATAACTTTGATCAAACTCTTCCCGTTCCCGGAACGTATATCGTTCGGCACGAATGTTGTCGCGCATTCCATCAATGGGTGTCGTCCTTCGACCACGTCTATGATCTTTGACTTCGTTACGTTCGGTTTGGTGTAATTATAATCACGCGCCACTTTGTAGAAAGCCAGTAAACTATAATCGTTTCGATCGTTTAATATTAATTTGACATTTGTCTTCGAACGAATTCTTCCAATGGATGCTTACGTGTCTAACTCGGCACAGAGTTGAATCGCGTTTAAAATCGTCCCCATGTGTTTCTTCGTATAACGTATCAACTTTTGCACGATGTGATTTTGTCGAACGGCTATTTCCAATATAATGTCACCCACGCTCTCATCCAGCTCTGAAACAATCGATCGAACGAGAATAAACGAACGAATAAAGATACCTTTCTTCGAGATGGAAATGGAAAATTTACCGACCTCTCGCCGAAGGACTTTTATAATAATGAACCCGATTGATGCTGAATTTGAATTCCAAATTTGGAAAAGTAACGTCCTCGGGTGGGGTCGGATCCCATTTGTTTATCGCCAATACGTAGCCAATATTTGGCAGATACAACATATTGCAACCGGTTACGGAACGTGGAAGATATTCCCGCATATCTTTCTCCGCCATTCGCGTGAGCAGTTCGGGCAAAGTGTGTCGCACGTGATTCACTGTGGATCGATTACGCAAACGTGTGAATGTAATTAAAAATCGGCGATATATCAAAAAAAAAAAAAATTTTTCACGCACGTTCGTCCAACAAAGGATCGACGTTCGGTTTAACCACGAGCTTCCTTTCTCGTCTGCTCTCACCAAAATCCACTATGTATTCGATAAAGTATTTCACATATTGTATTTCAGTCGTCACACTTTCGGCGATTCGTTTGAACAATTCTATTCTTTCCCCGTATTCTTCGCAAATGTCAGCTATACAAATTACGTGGGAAATAGTCTGAAAGGAGGGAATGAATAATAGTGTGAGAACAATGTTGATAAGTAATGAAGGAGAAAGATTGAAAGAGAAAGAAGGGAATAGAATTGAACCTTGTACAATTTATACCAATTGGACGGCTTTGCTTGTGGTCCGGAACAACAGATCAGTACGGCGTTGGTCAAGCGATACACGTGCCGCAAGCAAGAGGTTAAATTTTCGACGACGCTTTGATTGTCGAGATCGAGGAAAAATTCGATCGCGTTCAGTCGTTGCTCGAGCATCGCGATGTTTCGCGTCGGATGATGCAATGTTTTCCTACGAGTGTAACAAAATATATATAATACATAAAAATGAAACGAGCCGCGTCTATTTTTGCGTTAAGTGTACGTAATTATTTTTACCATAGAAATTGAACACCTGGTCTTGAATTGCAATAACGATTAAGCAGGGAGAACAGACTGACACCTTTCATCGTCGTGATCGTTTCGCCAAATTTGAAGAGACTCGGGTGATCCCTTGCTTGAACGATGTTCAGCGCTTTATATGTATCTTCGTCCATCGTGACTAAATCTCGACTTGGTTCCGCAAAAGTAGAAAGAATTTGTGAAAAGAAACATCGTCAATCGAATGATAAATAATTTCAACTTACAGATTGATGTAATTCAGAGATACGAAGGACGCTTTTCCGGAAGGATCTAGAGCGATGTTATTCCAATGTTTGTCGACGAATAACAAGAGCGAACCCAAAGCGTGAATCATTGAGCAACACTTGAAATTCAATATACTATTTAAGAAAGTCAATCTGTCCATGCTGTTGGCGTTTCTCGGCTCTGATTCGATGCGAAGACATCTCACTCTGTGCGAGCATCGTTCGTAATTATGCTCCTTTTTACAGGTCAGTTTCAACACGGTGTTACGCACGCTTTCGAACGAATTCGATTCTTCGTTCATTGTTTGCGCCATTAAAATTTGCTTGATCGCGTTCGTGAAAGAAGATGGCGCGCCAGCGTTCACGAGCAAGTAACGTGGTAAACATTGTTTGTATAGCACTTTTGCCACGTCGAAACGTTCAAAGTCGTCTATCGTATCTTCTAGCACGAATAATTCGGATGTAACGACATTGTAATAAGCGGCGCCAAGACGATTGTTGTTCCAAATCATCGATAAGATTATCTGTTACAAAGAGAGATGATTCGAATGAAATTAGGGAGGATTAAGAATGGCTTGTTCGATTCGTATTTGAAAAAAAAAAAAAAGAAAGAAAGAAAGAAAAGGAAGAAAATGAACAGAAATTTCAACGATATTGCCTCGTCGATGTCCTCGCACAAATTTGTATCGGGTAATTTGGAATTTGACATATTCGTGTCTTTATCGGTTTTCTGTCGTGGCATCAGGTCGTTAACCATTGTTTCCTCTTCCTCGTCACTACTCTCGGAAATCAAAGATTCGAATTCGTTGCGCCTTTGGTATAGAAAAAATAAAAGGAGAAAGAGAAATGAGAAAAAAATGAGAAATGATAGAACGAAATATTATACGTGTGTACGTACACGAGGGTGCTCGATAGTATGGTTCTACGGGTAATTTTAGATTCCCTGCTCGACGAACACGCACTTATACGTTGAGGATTCGCTTCATCGCTATTGAGCGATTTTATTTTATCGTAATTATCCATCGGAATAGAAAATGTAAGCGATTCACGCGTCGATTAGGACACCGTGGATCCACCATTACCGAATTTAATGCGCATGCGCAATGAATTGGCAAGAATTCGTATTCGAGAATTTTTGCCCGAGTCGAGAACGCGGCGAATAGATAAATAGGAAAAACGTAATGATCGAATGGAAAACAAGATATTAGTTTTATTTTATTATATTACATACATATATACACCATGTTATATACATATATATAATAACAATAATATTAACGTATATATAAAATGATAGTAGGAGAAAGAATAATTTTCGCGATACAAAAGAGGGAGTTGAAACTTTTCGAGAAAAAAATTAACTCGGAATGGGTGGAGTTGGGCAAGGATTATAAAAAATTGGCCTATACGTTTTTCGTTTCGTGAACGGTTGTAATCCACTTATCGATGTAAGTTGGTGCGCAGTAGGATTCTTCGGATGTTCGGTTGGTTCGATCAGCTGGGACAAATCTTCCTTAGATGTCGCTATGTCCGCGCTTCGTGCAGGACTGGTGGACCTGTTCGTTCAACGTTCGTTCGTTGTTCGTCTTCGTTCCACGCTTGTCTCTTGGGTATAGGAATTGAAGGAATTGCGATTCGACGATTCGTGTTCACCTTAAGGTTTAAGCATTTTTCGTTCTTTTTTTTCATCGAAGAAACGCGAAAACGCGAAATGTATCTCTTTCTCTTTCTTTTTCGAAACGAATTGTCAATTCGCTGAATTCTCATGGTATATCGAGGTGGTATCCA